TGCCGATCGTCGAAAGTGAACCGGGCGCCCGGGCGATCGGGCTTACGAGGTGCACCTGCAGTTAACGACCGCGCGCGTGCACGGCGATTTTCTTGCCGATCAGCATGCCGCCCGTAATTACTTTATGCTCACGCAATATCGACGAGAAAAAAAAGGTGCCGGAATCTTTCGAGACTGCATCTGTAAATCTCTGTGAAATTAGCACCCCATTCTCAAAATTTCGGCATAATTGATAGAGTTCTGGCTCTTTTCCAAAATATTATCGAGATTTAAAATACGTTTCGAAAAGAATCCTAATGATAAAATGTAAAAAATAATAATTCAGCGAGTGATAAAGATACAATTTTACATTAATGTTATACAAAAATTCATAATAATTTTGTTTTAATTAAAATCGATTTGAATCGTAATATTTCTCTATAGAAAACTCTTGAGATGCTATCAAAATTCTAAAAAAGATGCCAACATTTTTTTTAAGAATATTATTAATTCCTTGGAGCTTTAGAAAATTTTCATTTGAAATTTTAAAGTCGTCAAATGAGCTCCTTTATGTCTACATAATCTAATAATCGCATTAAATTGAATAATGACACACATCATAGAGATATTATCCGATCTTCGTAATGAAATGGTTCGTACAACAATTTGCTTTTAGCGACTTAATACCATATACACGACTAAGAATCCAGTGATCTAATAGATCAAGCATAATGTATGCCGTAATTAACTACTCTGAAACGAGAAGCGAAGGCGGACTCGCGTCGATGAATCTCCTCGACGAGAGCTCCAAGTTTATATAACACTGGTTCTTTATGATGCAGACGAGCTGCTCGGGTGGGAGAGTGCCTCGAATGGCCGACAACTGTCTTTTCCATGGCCTCTCGCTTAAGTTACACTTCGTAAACCGACTCCGCGCGATTCCCATTGTGACACTCTTTAAGTACACGGCCGTCGCACTGACGCGCGCCGGCTCTCACTCTCTTTTCCTTTTTGTGTGTGTGTGTGTGTGTGTGTGTGTATGTGTGTGTCTGGACACAAACACAAAGAAATATTTTGAAAATGCTCGCCGCTCCCTCGACTTATTCACGCCTGTCGCGCGGACAATGACGGGACGATTAGCGGATACCGCGATGATGCCGGATGGCTTCAACGATCCGACGCTTTGGACAATGACATAGATCTTTATTAAAAAACGGTTAGAGTTTCGTGTCTCGAAGACACGATTTAATTGAAGGGAAAAATAGACAGAGTATATTGTATGCATGCGAAAGTTTAGTTGTCTCTCCAGGAAGAAATTGTTACTTCTTATTAAATCGCGTATATTAATTTAATAATGTAATATTGCAATAAATAGAAAAAAATTAATCTGTAAATAATTGGCCCGATATTTAGCTCATGATAATCGTGCCTTTTCATTTGCGAATATTGATGATCAACTTTTATTACAATTTACTTTCCATGTTTCATTTTTTTTTGCTCAAAACTTCTTAATCAAGATTTACCGATAGATTAATGTAGAATTTGAGCAGTAACGATTATTTAATATTTTATCTAAACTTTATATGTGTGTGCATACAACAATCTTTGAATAGAACCGTGATTGAAAGTACTCTGGTGTGTGTCTACATATGTATATTTATACCGACTGTCTGTAGGTATCTAAATTACGCACTCTACGAGTGAAAGTTTAAATATTTCACACACGCGTGAGCCTATGATGCATAGACGTCCAACGTTGGATTAACACGACCCTCGCGTTGCTTTTCTCGATCCGGCAAGCGCGCTGAAACATCAATCCCCGCTGCTCACTGCTTACGAAATCCGTGTCGCGCTGGATCACGCGAGATCGTCGAATCGACGAGAAGGCACCGTTAGACAGCTCATTTAATCCTACGCGTCATACGGAAATACGCCATAATTAACTGCTCGCAACGAGGTGCGTGCCATGGATTGACTGACGTCGACGATCCGGTCGCGGGATATGTAAAGTTTATATAACGCGTTTACATCGCGCGCGAGCTCCCCGACTGGAATTTAATCCGCGCCCATGACGTAATATTTATGAGATGCGTTTTTTTCTCCTCGACGCAGGAAGTTTCTCCGCGTTTAATCATCCTCGCCGGGCTAATCACGCGGGACAGAGCGCAACGTGGTACGCATCTGAATAATAATACGTTAGCTACCTAATCGCGCGTTTATTATAAATTATTATCGCGCCTCTTTCCCCGGGCGAGAAAAAGTACATGGGATATATTATTATTTTCTCAAAGAGCAAGGAGTGAGCGTTAAAGCGTATTCGATTAAACAAAAAACATTTAGCTTGTGACAAAATGTATTTCTGAAAATTCTGACACGTGTTGTGCGCATCTTGTATTTTATATTATATTATTGCGAAAGAGAAAATTGCATTTAACCTATCAAAAAATATTTTTCTTTCGTTTTATGTCGAGAAAAATAAGTAAAAAGTATTGTGTAATGCAATAGAATACATTGCAAACTTTATTTTTAATCTATATATCCGTTCCTTGGATATCACAATATTTAATTGATTTGAGCTTGAATAGATTATGAGTGTCGGATAAATATTAAACTCTTACTTATATCTTAAAGAGAACTTTAGAGAGATTTACTAAATCTCTCTAAAAAATTGCTAAATATCCGCACGCACACATGACACGAGAGAAATAAGATGAAAAATGAGATGCGGCGCGGTACGTAATACGCCATCTTCTCGGCGCAAAACAAGGCGAAGCGTCACCGGTAATAGCCAGGTCGTAAAAAAAAAGAGCAGTACTTGCAATACGGTGCTTTCTATAAGCGTTCGGTTACGTTAATGTCCAAGCAGGATGCGTATAATGATGCGTTGCGCCATCCCGATTAACGAGCGTCAACAGCGCGAATCTGTGATTGTGTCGGTGTCAATGCTGTTACGCGTCGGCGGAGTCGACGACCAGCTCGATCATGGAAACACGTCCCCCATGATTCAGCGACCGGTCACGCCGTATGACATTGTTATGCAGCATTTGCATCGGGGAAGGAGGGAACGAAGGAAGCCGCGCGTATAGTGGGGACCCCTCTACAAAGGCACGAAAGACTGGCGAGGCCATTGTGCGTAAGAGTGCAATGGCGCAAGCCCCAATGCATTATCTCACGCAATGGGACACTGACACCCCGTTTTGCGGTCTCTCGTTGCGGCGTCAAGAGCCACACAAAGCGACAGAGAGGACACTGGCGCGAACGAGCAGTGACACGGGAAACTGATAAGCCACGACGTGAGATTACGTCGTGTGTTGTAAACGCGTGTCGTGAATACTTACGGAGGGATCCTCGATTCGATTGTCTAGGAATTTCTTAATCACGATGTTCTATAAATGCGAGAAAATGCGGACTCCAAGATAGATGCAAATCGACCAGTCATATCAAATCAAATCAACTATTTCCTTTTTGTCCCTCATTCTTTTGAGAAAAATAAAATATACTTGTTGAAGTTACAGAATGATACGTGAGATGGAAAGTGTCTTAAGTTGTGTCTCAAGTATCTAAAATTTTTAGATACTTTCTTTCTATTATACTTCTGTTTTAATATTTCAATATTTTAAATTTTTAACACTTTATTAAATATATGACAAATTGTTGGAAACTGTATTTTTCTTGTCAATAGCTTTATAGACTATTGCTTGTTCTTACAAGTATTTGATAATTAATATCTGTGTAAATGAGGCAAATTTTTCTATTAAAATAAATTTATAATTTTCACGAATCGTTGGACCGTTGGACTTCAAAACAAAATACAATACTAAATCGATAGGTATCTAATTATTTAAAATGAACTTTTGTTATTTCGCACGATCGTCCGTAACGGCTGAAGGAAACGCGATTATGTTGACGCGACGGACGAAAACTCGTTTACTTTACCATCCGCGTCCAAAATAAAGTGTCTTCTACCATGCAGCGGTGCCGTTTGATGTGACCGGTATATACTTGCCGCATCTTTCTCCTCTTCGCTACTTGCCACGCATTTCTCTTTCCATCTCATTCCTTTTCTCTTTGTTTTCTCTTGTCCGCCCACTCCGTCACTCCCTTCTTCTTCATCTTGGCGATATCT